TTACTTCAAAGAAACTGTGAAAGTGCTGATGTCGAGAATTAATAAAAGTGTTTATTCGTCAAGAAGCGTGTACAGAATTCAAGTAGATAAGATTTATTTCTTTTTCTATAAATATTGAAATTGTAAACAGATATTCTAATAGTGTGTCTAATTATTATTAAGGTTTATATACGTATATTAAGAACTTATGCAGAACAACCGTTGACGGGTAGTCTCGGCGTAGTTCTGAATTTTTTGGTATTTTACGTTACAAGTGGCGCCCGCGACAGGACGCAGTGAGATTTTTTTTTTTAGAATTATTTTATTAAATGGTATTTTGTGAATTAAAGCTGGTTTCATTTATAGTTTTATTATGAATCCTCTAACTGCAAAACGCGGAGGATTGCGTTCTTCCTTTACCAAGACTGTTAATGTTTTGAAAAACGAAATTAATAAGGATAATTTTTCAGCAGGTATAATTAAAGATAAATTTACAAAGTTGCAAATGTTACAGAAAGATATTGAGGAACTTAACAAGCAGATTTTGAATTCTATAATTTCGACTGATATTTATAAGGGATATTTATAAGGATGAATTTATTATCATTTTTCGCTTAGTTAGTAAGAAGTTAGGTGTCTTAGAACAGATAAATTTAGAAATTAGGTCGCAAAGTAGTGTTTCTAGTAATTCACCTCGTAATACTAGATCGTTAAAGCTCCCAAAAATAGAGCTTAAGAAATTCGATGGAGTATAATTGAACCGACTTCCGTTTTGGTCTCAGTTCGAAAAAATACACGAGGACCCTGATTTTCACGAAAGTGACAAATTTCAGTATCTTGTGCAAAGCATGAAACAAGGGACGCGCGCTAGAGACTTTATTGACAGTTACCCAATGTCTGAAAAAAATTTTCAAAAGCTATTAGTGCTCTTAAGGAACGTTTTGGGAATCATAATTTACTAATTGAGGTATACGTGAGAGAGCTTGTAAAGTTGATTGTAACGAATGTTAAGACAGGCAGTAGTGAAAAATAACCATTGCCGCAATTATTTGATAAGATTGAAGCACAACTAAGAGCTCTCGAATTCTTAGATATTAAAACGAAAAGCAATGCTTGTTGGTTATATCCGATGGTAGAATCATGCCTCTCGGAGGAAGTCCTCAGAGCTTGGCAAAAAAGCCCGCTTTTTGGAGAAGTAAAGGAAAGTCAGAATATTTCTCGCCTAAATAATTTGATGAAATTTTTAAGATGCGAAGTGGAAGGGGAGGAAAGACTTAGCACGGAGTGGATTTGAAATTTTTGGGCAAAAAGACAGTATTGTAATAAATCGAAAAGGGAATTGAAAAGCAAATTTAAATTGAAACGGTTAACGAATGTCCCTACGGCGGCAGGTCTCCTTACGACGAAAGATAATAACTGTATTTTTTTTTTTTTTTTTGCGATAAACTACACGGTAGTAAGGACTGTTACGAAGTGCGCTCTCTGTCATTAGATGAGAAAAAGAATAAAATCAGGCTTAAGAGGTATTGCCTAAAGTGCCTTTCGCCTGGACATATTGCTAAGTCGTGTAAACAGTTTGTACGTTGCTATGTATGTGGTAAGGCTCACACAATTTCTCTCTGCCCGGATCTGCAGATACAGGAAACGCAGGAAAAGGCAACAGAGCGAGACACCATTCAGGCAACTACGGCGGAACAGATGTGTTCCACGGTGGTAGCTCTCATGACAATTAAAGTCAATGTGTTAGGAAAATCAGGCACGAGAGAAGTACGAGCGCTTCTCGATTGCGGATCACAAAAATCATATATTTTCAGATGCAAAAGCGCAAATGAACCTGATAAGATATATTGATTAAATAAGATACGATAAAAAAGCCTGGACAGGAGATACGTTTCTGGCGCCGTCTGTTGATGAAATCAGAACTAAAACATAATTTCTTTAAAGGTTGAAGGCAAAGATGGATTGGAAGTAGGGTCGTTAACTAGAACAGAAAGATTTTTTTAATTTGAAATGCCTCTAGAAAATCCAGTTCACCAATGGAAGATGTTTTTTTGAATAATTTTGGCAGCAGAAAACTTGAAAGTGTGATTTTCGGACCAGCAATGTTGGGAAACAGAAGACTTCTGTGTTTCCTTTTTCTAACATATCCCTCATGTTCCTTAACGCGAAATTTTAAGGCTTAGTTTGGCCAATGTAAATTAAACCACACTGGGAAGGAATCCCGTAAATACCCCAGGAATTCATATCCGGAATGGGGTCCTTGAGTATGGAACTCGGAATTTTATTGATGGGAGAATAAACAACCCAAAAGTTACATTTCTGCAAAATATGTGCAACTTTATAGCTAATTGATGGAAAGAAGGGAATGACAACAGAATTTTTATAATCTCCTAAGAGTGTACCTTTTAGTGTGTTGAGATGAGAATTTTTTTAACTGCTTGATTAATAATGTTGGGTGGAAAGCCCCTGTCAATAGCTATTGCTTTTAAATAATTTAGTTCTTCATCAAGGGCTAGTTTGGAGGAGCAAACTTGAAGAGTACGGAAAACATAGGGATAAAATGAAGCTAACTTTTGTTTAGTCGGGTGACATGATTTAAAGTGTGGTGGAAGGCAAACCGATGAAGGTTTACGGTAAACCGTAGTACTGAAGTTGAATGTATTACGTGTGACCAGAATGTCGAGAAACGGAAGAGAATTGCAAGTCTCAAGTTCAAAAGTGAACTGAATAGCAGGATCAATGGAATTAATTGTTGAAAGAACTTTATTTAAATCTTTATTACCTTCAACCTTTTATTACTTCTACCTTTTATTTTTAATCTTTATTACCTTCAAACAGGGTAAAAGTATCGTCTACGTAGAGGAACCATACCGGGAAGTTTAAAGTTTCAAAGAATTTTGATTTATAATCAAGTATGTAGATATCAGCCAGGATGGGACTGAGGGAGCTTCCCATGGCTAATCCCTCAGTGTGCTTGTAATATTTATTTTGGAAAACAAAATGCGTTTGTTTCAAACAGAGTTGAGAGAGGAATTAGCTCTTCAATTTCGATGCAAGAGAAATTAAATTCGCGAAGTCTGGTTTCTAGACATCTTAATGCACCCTCCACTGGAACATTGGTGAATAATGATTTTACATGAAAAGTAAATTTATAGGAGAGTAAATTTGAGTGAGTAAATTTATAGGAGAAATGTTTTTAAATTGTTTTACAAACTCTATTGAATTTTTTATGGTGTAAATGGCATTGTCTAAAAAAGTTGAAAATCCAGAAACTAAATATTTAGCTAACGGATACGAGGCAGTACCTAAATTTGATACAATAGGGCGGAAAGCAATACCACTTTCATGAATTTTGGGAAGAGCATATAATCTGGCACAATTCACAACACATGGGATAAGCGAATATTTTAAGTTACTTGAAATGATTTGCGAATATTTGATCGCAGTTTTTATTTTTGACAGGTCTGAAGGTGAAGGATTTTTAGGGATCGGATTATATGGTGCTTCGTTTAAGAGTTTAGTGACACCATCGATGTAAGTGTGTAGAGCATTAGGTTAATTGGAAAAGCCGGAGAGATGAAAAATTAGCAATCGCCTTCGCCAGGAATCGAACCACGGACCTCTCGAATACCGGCCCAGCGTGCAGAACCACTACATCACGAAGACACGCTAGGAAAGTGGGAGAAATACCTTATATACTCCGCCTTTTTAAAGGGTGACTGGGATATTTAGGGGACCCAAAGAGTCTCTAGCTAATGTGGTTGATGAAGTGTGGCATAGACTTGAAGCAGCGTGAAGTGAGTTGTCATCCAAGCCCAGTTTGACTTCATGCCTAATTGGGTAAGGGCCGCTTTAGCTGCCATGGGTGGAAGCTGTTTCCACTAACTTCACACCTCCAAAATGTTTACAAATTTAATCATTTTTTCTTCATGCCATACTGTTTACGTGCAATAAATATTTTTTAATGTAAGCTTTCCTCCATGGTCTTTCAATTTGAGTGGTCAGCGCTATAGATGTATGCAGCTGCAATAATGCGAATACCTCTGACACAGATCCTAAAGCGTTTTCTTCTAAAGCCAAGTCTTGACGCGATTTGTGCTGTCATGCCGGCTATAGAAAATATTGATTTCTACGTGTTCCCACAAGTCGAATAGGGTTGTAATTTTTGTACTTTATATTATTTGCCTAGTGTATATGGCTATCATATCTCCTAGTCTTCATAGCACAGCATTTTTGGTACCCAGCAGCATAAATGCACACATATTTTGCCTTTATTCATAACATTTCCTTTTCTCTGTCTTACTATATTGTAATAATTCTAATAAATGTAAAATAAAAAGTAAGTTTTAGAAAACTGTCTTGTAACTATGTTTATTGAGATTAAGTCAACAGCTGGCAGTTATCAGTTGAATTCTGAGGTAATCAAATCTTTTATTCCCAAATGTTCATATCCCTAAGTTCAGCATTAAGGAGCACTGCTTCATAATGGTGCCGGGAACTTAATGGAAGTTGGCCACTCTTAAAAAAATATAAATGTCCATAAAAGTGCTACGAATGCCGGACCACCACTGTGAATTTTGAGATTTAGTTCATTCTTCTGAGTAGCAAAATAAAATTCTACATGCATAGCGGTAACTAGGCATAACATTTGTAACGGCAGCTAGATGCATAGAGGTCGGCATCTTCAAATGGTTTATTTTTCAAGCTGAAAAAAAAATCTGAGCAAAGGTGCCCTCACTTATCTGCCGAGATATCTTAGGAGAGCATGTGCCGTTTAGGTCAAAAGCCGATTTGCATCCCCCTTTTATGGCATGATGCCATTATTCCTCAAAAGAATCAGCTTCAATTTCTTTTTTTTTTTTTTTTTTTTTCATTTTTAAGTTCTCTTATCCTTACTATGACATTTGTTCTACTGGATTGCAGACGAGCTGCGCATTTAATGTAAGTTTCTAGATTTACAATATTTTAATATTTTTTCACAATTTTTGTTACATAAATTATTACGAAATTTACAAACAAAATGAAAATATAAGAAAATATTTATTTTCTCGAAACATTCATATTTTACAATAAAACATTTGTAATAATCAAGTTGAAAGCAACATTTTATACATTATTTACAAAAGTCATATTATCAAAATACTCATGGTCGACAAAATTTGGTTAATACCACTTAATGAACAAACAAATGTTTATAATAAGCATTATTCGCTTTCATTAAAAATGAACAGCACAAATAATTCTTCCCTATCAGGAAATATCTTTCACAGAGTGTTATCAACTAGGAAAGATAAGTTGTAATGCTTGCTTAATTGCTCGAATAAAAAAAAGTCTTGTAACAGTGATTACTCTGAACGATTCAAGAAAATTAGGTACTATTCTAAAAGTATAACAAGTTAAAAATATTATACAAACCTTTAAAGGCAATGTGTTCTAACATTCCATTCATTAAAAATTTTACTATAACAAATATTTTAAAGAAGAATGCCAAAAGATTGTTCTTATTATACAAATATTTGTTAAAAACAATTCATATCATTCCTTTATCTTTATATAAATTTTAGTTTCGGAACAGCAATAAAAATTTACAAAAACATTCTTAGGAGAGCATGTGTCGTTTAGATCAAAAGCCGATTTGCATCCCCCTTTTATGGCATGATGCCATTATTCCTCAAAAGAATCAGCTTCAATTTCTTATTTTTTTCATCTTTCATGTTTTTTCATGTTTAAAACATTCTTGTGTTTGTATTAATAGTGAATAAAATGGAAATTCATTTAATATTTAATTAATATGTCCTGTTTCTTTTAATTTGATTTCAAATGCGCTTCCTAATTGAGAAATGGAATTCATTTGTTTCGCATCTTATGAAGAGATAATTGAATAAAAAAATCCTGAATGTAAAATAAATGAATCTCTGATAGCAAATCCACAAAATATAATACATTTAACTTTATCTGAAGTAATGTTCTTCGCATCGATTTCGAAAGCATGGCCTTCAGTATAAGATATCAAAATGCCACTAGAACCAGACTCCATAGCTTTTGGTACCCCTCCCCCCCAAAAAAGTTATCATATAGTTCCATGAAACAAAACCCGTTTTTGTTACATGAAATTCTTTCCTTTGTGATCTGTGATCTGCCTCATTCAACAATCTTTTTAGCCTACACCAAATAGCTCTCTTTCGTACGCCTCGAGTTGTCTCATGAAACCTTCATTTGGACTTATGATAGGCCTGGCATCTTTAACTTTATCGTATGCTTCTTGTAGACGCATACGCTGAGTTTTCATGAGATAAGCAATGCAGATTGTTGCTGCTCGAGAAATGCCAGCATTGCAATGTACAAATACCCATCCATGACGGCGAGCTTCGTCGATGAACTTAAAACACTCTTCAAAGCAACGTCTGATGTCCATACTGGGATGATCTCTGATGTTCATCCTCTTATATGTTATTTCAGCTGGAAAACAATTGGGCACACCGGTGGCTACGTTCAGGATATGGCTCACTCCTAACTTGCGCAGGCGAGACAGATCTTTGGCGACATCTTGGGCACCTACGAAGAAAATAAGTACTTTAAACTCTGAAGATTAGTTAGAGAACAGAAGAAAATTAGTAAATAAATTCTCCATATAATACAGCCTTACATGTACTCTTTTGAAAGTAGTAAAACACATTAGATGCTTTTGAAAATCTGACATGTACTTGTTTGAAAGTTTTTGATCGTACTCTTTTGAAGGTAGTTTGCAAGAGCAACAGCAATGGCGCTTGAAATAGCTTTACATATATGATATTCATGTGTTTCATTGAGCTACAAAGGCAAGTACGTAAAAGCTCTGAATATACACCCTGAGAAAAAATAAATAAATATATTTTCTTTTGACCCAAAGATTAAAATTAAGCATGCATGTATTCTTGCAAAGGTTATATAAACAGTAATACAATTTGCATTACAGAATACTTAGTTTTTTAATATTAATCATTTTTATATAGTAATAATAATCATACGATTAAAGCAATGAATATTTTTACATAATAATTTAATAGTAAAGAGGTCAGATTATTTAATGACCAAACACATGTATATTATTTACACATGTACACATGTATACTATGTATAACATATACAACTATAACCTCAACTATAAAACAAATATATACAAGTATACTATATTTATGCTTCATCCAAGGTTTTACCAAGAACACTCTAAATAACTTTCGCATCCCTCCCTACCACTACGTTTTCTACAGAACTTCCAGATTTGCAGGTTTAAAGGCACATTTTTACACATTATGATCTTATATGTTGATGCATTGTCCAGGATTTGAACTAAGCCCAATAACATATAAATAAATTTTTGCAAACCTTTATATCATATTGGACGTTTAAGGTAACTGACCTCGTTTGAAAGGCTTTTTTAAAATTTTTTGGTACATTTATCAATTTATGCGATCTTTATTGAATTGCACTCACGCTTAAATATAATCACTACAAAAGTGAAAAAAAAATCATTGTTTTGTGAAATTTATGCAAAAAACTGAAAAACATTTTAGATCGAACCTAACGAAAACATCAGCCATCACAGACAAGAAAATAATAATAATCAAAACAGATATTTTTACTTTATGTTATATATACTAACCATAAGAATACTGTTCACTTCAACGCCTATCGAATTAATTTCCACCTTTTCATTGCCATGCGTTGGCAACACGCTTTTGAGATTTGTCGTTCTTAGAATTCGGTCGCTAAAATCGTAGCTGGCCTGTAACGGTTGTAATTCTTATTTTATAACTTATCTGTACTGCTGAATTATTACTAAATGTTTTGGTGTGAATGTTATATTATTAAATGTATTCAGTTTGGTTTAAATAGACCAAGAGTCGTTGAATTTATTAAGTATATTTAAAGTCGAACCTGCGTCATCCATTTCGGCGCCATTCTAACACAGGAACGTAAACAAATTTTTGGAGGCACGGCGGCGAGATTGGGAATTCGTCAGCAGTTCAAGTATAGATAAGTGCTTTTTATTTCGATTTACATCTGAATTTGATTCTTGAAGTTTTATATATATTTTGTATTGATTTTCATTTTGAACTTGAATACTTCGATTACTTATTATGGATCAAGCTACTGTCATTAGATTGCGTGGTAGGGCAAAAGCGGCCTTCACAAGGCTTCAGAATACTATTTCTTCCGATTTATCTAAAAATGAAATAATTTTGCATCTGGAGCGCTTGGAAAGGATTTATTCAGATTTTGATAAATTTGATGCCCAATTACCAGAAGCACGATCAGAAATTGAAGATTTTGAATCGAAGTATTTTAGTTTCAAACATGTTCCAGATAATTCTAATATTAGTAACTTTAAGTTACTTAAGTTGAATATTCCTATTTTTTCGAGTAACTTTAATGACTGGATGAATTTTAAAGATTTGTTTGTTGCAACAGTGCATAATACTTCTTTATCGAATATACAGAAATTTCAGTATTTGATCGGATCACTTGCTGATGAACCAGCTTCTATAATTAAACATATTCCGTTATCAAATAATTCTTATGAAGAAGCATGGGCAAAATTGCTCGCTAGGTACGATAAAAAGAAGCAAATCGTACAATCGTTAATTAAAACATTTCTGGATCAAAAATGTATTTCACAGGTTGATAATGTTAATTTACGGCAATTAGCTGATACTTCCGATGAAGTTATCAGAGGTTTGAAAGCTCTTGTTGACGAAGCAACTTCTAGGGATCCATGGTTAATATTTATGTTGCTTCAAAAGGTAGATTCAGAAACTCGAAAGTTATGGGCACAGAAAACAGCGGAAGATGATTTTCCTACACTGGAATCATTTTTTGAATTTTTAAATTTAAGGTATTCTTCTCTCGAAATTATCATAAATAAAGAAGCAGAAGCTAAAGTCGTTCATAAAAATAGTAATGTTAGTTCTAAAACGTTACAGAATTCTAAATTTAGTAATACTAAATGTTCGAAATGTAACGGACTTCATGTGTTATATAAATGCGTTAAATTTAAGAATATGGTTATGTAAGATGTTAATTTAAGAACTTTGTGAGAAAACGAGGATTGTGTTTTTTATGTTTAAATTCACATCTAATCAAAAACTGTAATTCACAGTTAAAGTGTAATTTGTGTAATTCAAAAACGCATAATAGTTTGTTGCATGAAGATATTAAAGCTAACAACGTACAGCTTTTAACAGCGCCAAATGAAAACGAAAGCACTCTAGAGAGAATTTCGAATGAATCATGCGAGGGTCAAGGTCAGGTAGTTGTCAGTAATACGATTCAAAATTGCAACTCGGCGATTTTGCCTACGGTTCTCGCACTCGCATTTTCGTCCAGTGGCGAAACTATCGAAATTAAATTATTACTGGATTCCGGAAGTGAAAGTTCGTTTATTTCTGAACGAGCTGTTCGAAGATTAGGATTAAAAAGAACGAATCAAAGGTTACTTTTGCGTGGAATTGGCGGAGTGCCAGCTTCCAAGACTCGCGGCTCTGTTGATTTTAAAGTTCGGTCAAAGGTTAAATAATGAAATAATTGATGTTAACGCATACATTTTGGATAGGTTAACTTTGCCATTGCCGGAACAAGTCATTAATGTAAAGCATATAGAATACATTAAATCTATTCCGTTAGCGGATCCGAATTTTGCTCAACCCAAAGAAATTGATTTGATTTTAGGAGCTGATTATTTTTTCTCCGTTTTAAGATGTGGCCAAATATATGGTTCGAAAAATGAGCCTGTAGCTCAAAATACAAATTTTCGGTTGGGTGATTGCTGGGAAGGTCGGAAATAATATGGAAGGCCCAAAAAACAGCAAATTCACACTTCATAAAGTTAGAAGATAATATAAATATTGATTACGAACTTAAGCGTTTCTGGGAAATGGAGGATATTGTCGATGTTGGGAAGAAGGAATTTCTGACACCTGAGGAACAATTTTGTGAATCACATTTTCAAAACACTCATTCTGTTAATTCAGATGGGCGATTTGTTGTAAAACTTCCATTTTATAAATCGCATTTGAAGTTGGGTGATTCAAAACCGGCAGCAATTTCTAGGTTGCGTTCCATGGAACGAAAATTCAAAGATAATCCGGAATTTGAAAAACAGTATAAAGATTTTATACATGAATATGAACAGTTAGGGCATATGACTGTGATTAATGATGATTTATCTAACAGATCGGATATAGAAAAGTTTTATCTTCCTCATCATGCGGTCATTAAACCTTCTAGCACAACGACAAAATTAAGAGTAGTTTTTGATGCATCCTGTAAATCTGAAAACGGTATATCATTGAATTCTCTTTTAGGGGTAGGTCCGAAATTACAAAGAGATATTTTTGAGATTTTGATTAATTTTCGATTTCCTAAAATTGTTTTCACAGCCGATGTGGAGAAGATGTATCGTCAGGTGATGGTAGCCCCTGAAGATCAGAATTATCAATTGATACTTTGGCGATACAATTCCAGTGATAAAATGCGCACGTACAAGTTGAAAACAGTTACGTATGGTCTTTCCTCTGCTTCACTTTATCTCCTTGCACTACAATGATTAAAATATTCTATCAAAAGCTATGGTTAGTTAAAGGCGACTGGGATTCAGTTGCCCACCAGCAGATCTTAGATGATTGGTTTAAATTTCAAGAGACATTCAGTCAAATCAATAAGTGTGAAATTCCGAGATGTGTCATACTTACAACGGACAGTGTTATCCAACTACATGGATTTTCTGATGCATGTTCGCAGGCCTATGCAGCAGCCATTTACTGTCGACAAAAGTGCAATGGTATGGTTAAGGTTAATCTTTTGGTATCCAAGACTAAAGTCGCGCCTATAAAGCAAGTATCCCTTCCTCGATTAAAACTCTGTGCTGCGTATTTGTTGACCAGATTAATGCAATCTCTACTAAACATTTTAAAGAAGTTTTAAAGATTTCGAAATCTAAGCGTGGATGGATTCCAAGGTAGTTCTGTCTTGGCTATCCGCTCATCCACGTAAGTGGAAAAACTTTTGTTGCAAACAGAACATCTCAAATCATAGAAGTGATACCTATTAAACATTGGAATCATGTTCCTCCTAAACAGAATCCTGCAGACATTGCTTCTCGTGGTATTGAACCTCAACTCCTACCAAATTGTACTTTGTGGTGGAATGGTCCACCATGGTTGCGTCAGGAAGAGGAAAAATGGCCTAAATATGAATTAAAATCTGAAGATGATACTGAAGTAAAGGCCGAACAAAGATCTGATCCTATTTTTATTTCTCATATACGTGAATCGAATGATTTATTAGCTAATTTGTTCGAGCATTATTCTTCGCGTTGTAAAATTGTTCGTATTCTGGCTTACTGCCAAAGATTTATTACTAATTGCAAGAAGCATCATGTTACTCAGAACATTTCACGTAGTGGCATTAACTCCAGCTGCCTTATGCCGCTAACATTTCTAGAGATTCGAGTAGCAGAAAATTTCATTATTCGTTGGATTCAGAATCATTATTTCAAGATGATTTACAATGTATTA